CACCCATCCCTTGAGGGAGCGGTGAGCAGCAGCGGTGCCGCACTCGGGAATCATGTGGTGATCTAACCCCCCAATTCCAACCCCTGATGCTGAGTGCCAAGCAGGGAGGCAATGGGTCCCATTTNGGAATCATGTGGTGATCTAACCCCCCAATTCCAACCCCTGATGCTGAGTGCCAAGCAGGGAGGCAATGGGTCCCATTTTTATAGTCTTTGATATGATCCTGTCGGTGATCGAACCCATGTCCTCCCAGTCTCAGGGCGGACACTCTACCACTTGGTCACTGAGCTTTTAGTCCTTCTCAGGCAATCTCAGGGGTTTAGTATTGCTGGAGCCCACAGGAACAATGCTTCTTTTTTTCTCCAAGTAAGGATTACAATAGATGCAGTTCACATAATCTGGTCCAAATTAACATATTTTTTAAATGCTTGAAGATCCACTCTTTACTAAAAGTGTACTTCATCAGGAGAGACAATAAAAAGAAATGTAATGATCAAAGTGAATTTTAAGGTGTGCTGATGGATTCACGTCATCAACTCATGCATTGAGTACGGTACGGTTCAGTTCGGTATGCTTTTTTTCTGTTTCCGCTGCAAAAAGTTGTGGATGGTACCAATGGGACCGTTCCTTAATGCTACCATTTTTGGTACCCCTTCTGTTGCGGTACCTAGCACACAGATCTGGTTCTAAAAGGTGGAGCTGTGAACACTGCAGTCCGTTGATTGGTCAATAGCGGATGGTCACTCTGCTCAGGGCTGAGCTGTGGCTGGTTTTGAGGCAGAAGCCATTGTTCATATTGTGAGTAGACTGTAACTATTAAATATAAGGATGTTTTGCTGCCTCTTGCAGCAGCTGAAGTTGGAGCAAAAATAACTTCATTCAGCGGGCCGACTTCCGGGATTTTTAAGGTGGAACATAAACTCGTAATGTTACTAAATGCACGAGCTGATGACGTGACTCAATCAACACACCTTAAGTATTCTATATTACAACTTTGACCATTTCTTTAGTTTTTATATGACAGACACTTTTAGTACTGAGTGGATCTTCAAGCATTTATACTGTATGTATTTATTTCGGCCGGGTTATGCGAACTGCATATATTCTAATCCTCACTCTAAGAAAAGAAAAGGGTTGCGTAGCGTCAGGCACGCAACACTAAACCCCCTAGCATGCCTGAGGACTAAATGCACAGACCCGCAATTTTTTAATATCCCATGGAGAGAGACTCTCATTGCAGCCTGTTTTGTTATGAGCTATTTTGTTCTGAAAATGTCAGATTGCAGTCTCTTAGTAGGCACTCCAGTAGGTGCGCTACAGAGTGACATTCATTTACCGAAGGCATTTTATATCTGGCTGATTTTTGGAGACTATGGCGGGGCAAATTAGACTATGGTGGGCCGCCATAGTCTCGTCAGTGTATGGGAAACACTGCTTATGTATGTAAGACTTGCCACAGTGGTTACATATGCTTCAAAACCAGCCACAACTCAACCCTGAGCAAGAGTGACTGTTTTCTATTGAGTCTAGGGCTGGGCAATAAATCGATTTTATCGATTAATTCGAATTTGTAGTTTAGGCCGATTTGTTTTAATGAAAATCGAGTGCTCTTGGGACATGGAATGTCACCTCTCTGGCGGGGAAGGAGCCGGAGCTTGTGGAAGAGGTTGAGTGCTACCGGCTAGATATAGTTGGCCTCACCTCGACACATAGTTCTGGCTCTGGAACCCAAGTCCTTGAGAGGGGTTGGACTCTCTCCTTCGCTGGAGTTGCTCCGGGTGAGAGACGGAGGGCCGGGGTGGGCTTTCTGATAGCCCCCAGACTCTCTGCCTGTACCTTGGGGTTTACCCCGGTAGACGAAAGGGTTGCTTCCTTGTGCCTTCGAGTAGGGGAACGGGTCCTGACTGTTGTCTGCGCTTATGCGCCGAACAACAGTTCAGAGTACCCGCCCTTTTTGGAGTCCCTGGGACGGGTGCTGGACAGTGCCCCGACTGGGGACTCCATTGTTCTGCTGGGGGACTTCAACGCTCATGTGGGCAATGACAGTGGGACCTGGAGGGGCGTGACTGGGAGGAACGGCCTGCCCGATCTGAACCCGAGTGGTTTTCAGTTATTGGACTTCTGTGCGGGTCGCATTACTAACACCATGTTCAAACATAAGGATTTCCATCGGTGCACGTGGCACCAGGACAGCCTAGGTCGCAGGTCAATGATTGACTTTGTAGTCGTATCATTTGACCTGCGGCCATATGTTCTGGATACTCAGGTGAAGAGAGGAGCAGAGCTGTCAACTGATCACCACCTGGTGGTGAGTTGGATCAGATGGCGGGGGAAGACGCCACGCAGACCTGGCAGCCCCAAACGAACAGTGAGGGTCTGCTGGGAACGCCTGGCAGAAGAACCTGTCCAGATGATCTTCAGCTCCCACCTCCGGGAGAGCTTTTACCGCGTCCTGAGGGCAGAGGGGGATATTGAGTCCGAATGGGCCTTGTTCCGCTCTGCCATTGTCGATGTGGCAGTTGCGAGCTGTGGCCGCAAGGCCGCTGGGGCCAGTCGCGGCGGTAATCCCCGAACCCGCTGGTGGACACCAGAGGTGAGGGGAGCCATCAGGCTGAAGAAGGAGGCCTACAGGGCATGGTTGGTCTCTGGGTCTCCAGAAGCAGCTGATGGGTACCAGCAGGCCAAGCGGAGCGCAGCAGTGGCAGTCGTGGAGGCAAAAACTCAGGCATGGGAGGAGTTCGGTGAGGCCATGGAGAAAGACTATCGATCGGCTCCAAAGAGGTTCTGGCAAACCGTCCGGCGCCTCAGGGGGGAAAGGCGGCAACTTGCTCACACTGTTTACAGTGGGGGCGGGGAGCTGCTGACGTCAACTGGGGACATTGTCGGGCGGTGGAAGGAATACATTGAGGAGCTCCTCAATCCCACCAACATGTATTCCAGTGAGGAAACAGAGACGTGGGTCTCGGGGGTGGGTCGTCTAATTTCTGGGGCAGAAGTTGCTGAGGTAGTGAAACAACTCCGAGGCGGCGGGGGTGGGGGGGTGGATGAGATTCGTCCTGGATATCTCAAGGCTCTGGATGTTGTAGGGCTGTCCTGGCTGACACGCCTCTGCAACATTGCGTGGACATCGGGGGCAGTGCCTCTGGAGTGGCAGACCGGGGTGGTGGTCCCCATTTTCAAGAAAGGGGACCAGAGGGTGTGTTCCAACTACAGGGGGATCACACTCCTCAGCCTACCTGGTAAGGTCTACTCCAGGGTGCTGGAGAAGAGGGTCTGGTCGATAGTTGAACCTTAGACGTGGACGCGGAACTGTGGACCAGCTCTTTACCCTCGCCAGGGTGCTGGAGGGGGCATGGGAGTTTGCCCAACCAGTCCACTTGTGTTTTGTGGATTTGCACCTCCAAGTCTGAGGCCATGGTCCTCAGCCGGAAAAGGGTGGACTGCCCACTCCAGGTCGGGGGGGAGTTCCTTCCTCAGGTGGAGGAGTTTAAGTATCTCGGGATCTTGTTCATGAGTGAGGGTAGGATGGAGCGGGAGATTGACAGGTGGATTGGGGCGGCGTCAGCAGTGATGCGGGCGCTTAACTGGTCCGTTGTGGTGAAGAGGGAACTTAGCTAAAAAGCGAAGCTCTCGATTTACCGGTCGATCTACGTTCCAACCCTCACCTATGGTCACGAGCTTTGGGTAGTGACTGAAAGAATGAGATCGCGAGTACAAGCAGCCGAAATGAGTTTCCTCCGCAGGGTGGCTGGGCTCAGCCTTAGGGATAGGGTGAGGAGCTCGGACATCCGGGAGGGACTGGGAGTAGAGCCGCTGCTCCTCCACATCGAGGGGAGCCAGTTGAGGTGGTTCGGGCATCTGGTAAGGATGCCTTCCGGACGCCTCCCTTGGGAGGTGTTTGGGGCGTGTCCAACTGGGAGGAGACCTCGGGGCCGCCCCAGGACACGCTGGAGGGATTACATCGCCCAGCTGGCCTGGGAACGCCTCGGGGTTCCCGCGGAAGAGCTGACGGAAGTGGCTGGGGAGAGGACTGTCTGGGCTTCTTTGTAGAGGCTGCTGCCCCCGCGACCCGGATCCGGATAAGCGGAGGACAACAACGACAAAAATCGAGTTTCTATTTAAAATCCGCCACCGCCATTCCACACTGGGCTCCCGTAGTTCAGAGTGGGCTCACATCAACTACGCACATACACAGTTCCCCACACACACACACACACACACACACACACACACACACACAAGCCACACACATCAGGCTCAGCCTGTAAGATAAGGCTATTTAGTTTGTTTAATAAAAGGACAAGGTTCTTCTGTTCTATAGGAAAGGTAACCTTAAATGACTTCTGTTGTGATCCAATATGATGGTAGGGGAAACACTGCCGTATGATAAGAAAGGGGTCCGGTGGAAAGCGATCACAGATGCAGTCGCCATGTATATTGCAAGAGATATGGTGCCCACATATAGGCTACCGTGGAAAAACTGGGGTTTATTCACATGCTGAAAGTTTTGGACCCCAGGTATGTGCTACCAGGCCGCAAATATATATTTTTTTAACTAGCAGGGGAAAAAATCGATTTAAATCGTGAATCGGATTTTTTGTGAAAAAATTTTTTTTAGGCCATAACGCCCAGCCCTAATTGAGTTACTGTCTTCTACTGACCAGTCAATGCACTGCAGTGTTCATGGCTCCACCTTTTAATACCAGATTTGTGGTACACCAAAAGAGGAGTGATGGAAAAATGGGGAGGTTAAGAAACTGCTCCACTGGCACCATCCACAACTTTTCACAGTGGAAACCTAAAAAAAAATGCGTACCGAACTGACCTGAACCATACCGGACTGCTTGGTAGAAATGTGGCTTATTTAAAATGTAAATTTATTTTGTTAAAAAAAAATAAGATGCTGTCTGTACTTTTCTGTTCTACTGGACCAACATTTCCTCACAGCTGTTATCTTTTTCCACTTCACAGCTAACAGTAATAATGGTTTATCTTCTCAGCCCAGTCATCCATAAGCACCATGGGAAAGAAGAGTCGAGTGAAGATTCAGAAGTCAGGCTCAGGAGCCAGTACTGTGGTTTCCCCCAAGGAGATGATGAACCTGATCTCTGAACTGCTGCAGAGTATGTTTACCATCAGTTTTACATCCAGTGCACCTTCACACTCCTTACATGGGGAAAAGTCTTTTTTACACGCTCATTCTACATTCCAGTGGTTACAGAGCTGTCTGTGCTAACTCACACAAAAGAAGGCATGTACACTATTTGTTTTTAAAGCATACTGTGTATCCCCTTGTAATGTCCTGCTCAACTGTTTGGTAGAGCCCATTTTGAGTCACTGTATCTTAATGAAAAGTATGTTAAACTTAACCTGATTGAGCTATCTCTACCATTTGGTTTAGGCATGTTAAGCTAAAAAAAAGTCCACTAGGTGTCAGTGTATCTTTAAAAAGTATGCCTTCTCAGCAGTGGTGGATAAAGTACCTAAAAGCCATTCTTGAGTAAAAGTACAGTTATCTTACCAGAAAATGACTTTGGTAGAAGTTAAAATTGCCCATTTAGAATATTACTTAAGAAAAAGTATAGTATAGTATCTGATATTTGCTGTATTTAAGTATCAAAAATAATTTTAGGATATTAAATACAATTAAGGACTAAAGTAAAATTATAAGTAAATACTGTTAATAAAAAAGCAAGCAGACAGAATTTTGAGACTGAGGAAGTTTGTTGACTCGTAATGCAACAAATGAATATCTTTTATCATTCATTGTTACTAAAGTACAGACACAAGCCTCATAAAGCTGTATAAATCACATAAGAATGTGAGTATTAAAATGTTTTACTAAATTCAAGGGTTTGGTAAATAATTATTTCTCAGGCTAAAAATCGACAGATATTGCATGTATCCTTCACACTTTTGCCAGCATGGCCTTGAAGTAGGCATTAAATTCCATTCTAGGTGGTATTAAATTGGTCTTAAAAACCCTTAAATTAGCTTTGAGAACCCTTGGTATTTCCTACATATACAGTACAGGCCAAAAGTTTGGACACACCTTCTCATTCAATGCGTTTTCTTTATTTTCATGACTATTTACATTGTAGATTCTCACTGAAGGCATCAGAACTATGAATGAACACATGTGGAGTTATGTACTTAACAAAAAAAGGTGAAATAACTGAAAACATGTTTTATATTCTAGTTTCTTCAAAATAGCCACCCTTTGCTCTGATTACTGCTTTGCACACTCTTGGCATTCTCTCCATGAGCTTCAAGAGGTAGTCACCTGAAATGGTTT